TTTTTGTGACTAACCACAACTGACTCCATTAATATGTTGCTTTGTTTTACTAATAAATAAATAAATAATTGAATATAAGCTGGTTTTTATTTTTAATGCCAAAAGCGATGGGAGATTCATTCAGTAAATTTAGCTGCACTCTCAAGGTCGGCACTTGTAGTGTAATTTATATACGAATTAAGCGGAGTTTTTTCTTTCCCGTTTTGGGCAAACGAGTTGGACAGGCGGCACTTTTTGTATTCAATATCATGAGTCAGATTTGGTCAGGCTTAAGTGTTTAGCTGAAGTTGCTGCCACATTGTTGCAGTTGCAGTTGCAGTTGCATAGTAAAAGATAATGATAACACATTTGGAGTCAAGCTTGGGCTTTGGCTAACAGCTTCACTTTGTGGCTGAGCTAACAAAAGCAGTTAACAAACGTTGACGGCCAAAAAACCATTTTGCTGTGGCAGACAAACAGCTCGAGTGAGTCAGAGAGTGCGCATGGTAGAGGCAGGGAGCAGGGAGCAGGGAAGGGGGCAGCGAGTGAGGCGAGTGCCAAGTGGAATGTGCCACGAAAGTTGCGACTTATGAAAGTGCACGCACAGCTCTAGCTGCTGCTGCTGTTGTTGTTGTTGTTGTTGCATTGTAAAAATACGAGAATTTATAAAAAGAAAAACGATTTTTTGTTTTTTTTTTTTCGTTATTCTTTAGCTACCACAAAGTGCCAAAAGTTTTTGTCTGTGGCAGTCAGGCTGGCAGCCAAGCGAGCTGATCAGTAAGTCAGCATTTGGAACTTTTATGCAGGCGCACGCAGAGAGATGGGCGGGGGGAGGGGCTGCAGTAGCAGGAGATAAGGAAAGAGGAAGAGAGGAGAAGACGAGAGATGGCAGCGGAGCTGAAAGTGGATCAGAGGCAGATGGAGGCAGCAGAAGACAAGAGAGAGAGAGGGGCTGAAGATAGAGCAGGAGGCAAGATGGGGCTACGGGGAGGTAGCCAGGAGACGGCACGAACAGGAGGCTGGCAAGACTAAGCTGAAGATGAAGATGGGAAAAGTGCGACGTGCGAAATGCAATGGAGACATATTGCGCCCGCAGACTTTGCAGAATGGGGCGTTGGCTCGAAAAAGAGTGATGGGGAGGTAGACGGGGCGTGGCATAATTCGTAAGCTGCGAAACGTGTTTACACACGCAAATGCTTGCTTAAAAATAATGCGAAACATGCATACGCACAGAGCAGAACGAGCATGAGCATGAGCAACAGCAACAACAACAATAGCAGCAGCAACAGCAACAATGTAAGCCCAAGCAACGAGACAAAACAAAACAAAATGCAAACAGCAATCCGAGAGGAAACGGAAAGACGCAACTGAAGTGATACAGGGTGAGAGGAAAAAGTAACAGGAAAAACGACAGGAAAAGCTGCAAGCTGCAATTGTTGTTGTTGTTGTTGTTGTTGTTGCTGTTGCTGCAGCAATTGTTGTTGCTGTTGGTGCTCAAGTCTCCAGCAATAAAATATATATTAAATGCGTAAGCACTGCAAGGCGACAATAAACCAAATAAGCACAACAAGAAAACAAAACTTGCATGGAAATATGCATAAAACTTTATAGTTGCGGCAATTCGCCGAGTGTTGAGCGCTCAAATATTACGCATACGCACGGTCGCACCAGCTGGCACGAGGTAAATCAATTTTTATGAGCAGTGTGTGAAGACATAAAAGCACAAGGAGCAGCAGCAGCAGCAGGAGAAGCAGGAGAATCAACAACAACAACTTTTACGACTTGGTAAATACCCACAAGCTGAAACAAGCAGAAAGAGGCTCAAAGGCTCAAACTAATTGTTTGACAAGCATAAATCATATATCATTTCCGAAAATGAAGCATAATTTGCAGCCAGCTATTCAATTAATAATATAATAAAATAAAAAAAAAAATAAAAACCTACACACGTTCGCTTTTATTCGCACATTCACATTTATATTTGTTTTTCATAGCACATTTAAAAAAAAGTATTAAATAAATTGTAATTTGAAATGTAATTTGATTGCAATGCTAAATGAACACGCTGATTGCATATTAATTTATTTTTGCATCGAACGTGGGAGACTCGCAGCGCTCTAATGTGACATCAGGCGAGGGCAGCCAATGCATTGCGCATTTTAAATATGTAGAAAATGAACCGAAGAGCAGCAGCAGAGCTTAAAGGGCATGTGGCTGGGCATATATTATATATGTATACATATATATATACATATATATAAGTTTGTGTGCATATAATGCATATCATATAAGGCAGGGCATGCATTATGCCCTAATGAAAGCCACTTAAATCAAACAGACAAAAGCAACTAAGAACTTTGCAGCTGAGCGCAACCGACTGCAATATACTCATTAATTGCATTTGGTTGAAAAATAATAATTTGCCATAATTTATTAAATATATAGAAAAGTCGAACATCCACAAACTGAAGGCGAGATATGTCTAGTACGTAGAATATATATAATAATGCATATATATAATAATGAATATATATAATAATTAATTTAATATAATCACAAAATTATATATACATTATCTATAGAGTAGCTCATTAGATTTTTGACTAAAATTTGCAGAAATTTATTAATGAGCTCCTCCACTTTCAGACAATATTGAAGGTATTTTTGAGAAAAGGGATACTAACGGAAATTTCAGATTAAATTTGTTGCTCTTTGGAGCGGCAGTCTGTTCAGCATATATTGCTGTAGTTCACTCTTCTGAAAGCTGTAAAGTGAAGGCAATATTCATACTGGAGATTTTCCCCATCAGCTGTAGCTATATATGGCGAGTTTTACATAAACCCTCAAGTCACAGCAAGTGCTATCATATCCTGCCTTAGCTGACAGAAGGCACATAATCATAAGCAAACGAATATGCCCGTTTTTTTGCACTTGATTCATGAGTTTTAAGAGCCAAAAATAATTTATTTAAATGAATTGCGCTAAGCATGAAATGCAAACAATGGATAAGTTGATATATATAAATATATATGTATGTATATATAAATATATGTATGTGCATACACATGTATATGCATATTTTTATATATTTGCAAAGCAAAAGTCGGGTGCAGCCACAGCAAACAAAACTTTTCAATTTCAAATGCGCGCCCATTTCCAAGAGCTGCAAAATATATAAATGTATGTACATATATATATTTCTATACATATATTGAGCTGGTGAGGAGGGCACGCCTTTAAAGCGAGATTTACAACATGTACGACAACAATTTGCAGGCATTGAAAAGTTCTCCTGCTCCTGCTGCTGTCGCTGTTGTCCTAAAACGTGACCCAAACAAACTTTGCAAATTGTCCAAAAACCCCAAAGAGCAACAACAATGGCAACAACAAGCGACAGCCACGCAAATAACATCAATATTTAATGCCTTTTTAATTAGATGCAGACACTTTGTTGCATTCCAAACAGCGCGCAGCGGATATGGAACAGCCAAAGACTTTGTTATGGATATGCTTTTACCACATACACACACACACACACACACACATACATAATGATATGCATGTGTATGTGTATGTGTGGACAGGTATATAGCCGTGAGTCGCTTTGATCTGCATACAAATGCAAATTACAAATCAATTTCGCATTTCAAGTTTAATTTTTGTTAAACTCAAAAGTTATCATCATCATTTTTATTTTGGAGCTGCCCACGCTTTTGCATTTGCATATTATAAATAATTTATTGCTCACGAAAATGTGTGTGCATGTATGTGTGTGTGTGTGTGAGTATTTCTGTGTTTTTTATCTGTTACTTGAAACTTTTCAGAGTCTGAGTAAGCGACTCGACTCCGACTGCCTCAGACTGACTGATTTGCATAAAAGCGTTTGCCATTTGCCCAGTTTTTTCGCCTTGTCGCTTTCCATTTGCCATTTGCTGCACTCATTTCGAATGCGATTCATAGATTCATATATATGTATGTTTGTTGTGGTATATATCTGTGTGCTGCACTCACTTTGAAATTGACTGGCCGTGGTCTCCAGTATGCCGCGCAGGCTGCTCGTATGATGATGCAGCAACTGCTCGAATTTGCCAGCTGCCTTGTGGCGCAGTTCCAGCTCTGTGGCGTTGCTGCAACAGCTGCCGCCGCAAGTGGCGCCTGCAATGGAAGAAGAAGAAGAAGAGAATAATAATTAGAATTGCATTAGAATCATATATGATCTAAATACTATAAACTATACACTGCAACAAAATATTCTAGCTGCTCTGCTTTAACTCTTTCGTCATCTGCGATCTGCGTCTGTTTCAATCATCTTCAAATTATCATTTTTATGTGTGTGGGCGTGTGTTTCGCTTAATTGTTTATGGCTCAAAGGCCTTTGTGTGGTTGCTGATTGGCGCCAAATTTGTCTTTATAGATATATATATGTATGTATGTATATATTATATATAAAAAGACATATATTTGTTTTTCTACATTCTTTCGTTTCGCTCAAACTATTTTTAATGCTT